CCAACCATAAACTTCCACTCTCAATGGACAAGGCAGATGGAGCGTGTCTCTTAAGAGGCCAAACAAAAGTCACGGAGTCTGTTTTTTTTTTTCTTTCCCCTTAATAATTTTCCTTAGTCCTCAATTACCTTATTTCATCAGCAAAGACAAAGCCAACCATAAGAACCTAAGTATCGTCTTTATCCCATCATGATTTACAGAAGACTAAGAGTTTGCTAACTTGCTAAACGAGATAATATAAAAAAACAAAGGTTGTAGGCAATAAAATAACAGCCAAGAGAGTTGCTCAAAAAAATATAATAATACCTTATCAGTATTTAGCCAATTCACATATTCAATCAATCCACCTGCATAGAAATGTTCATCATACTGATTCTTCTCCGGATCATTGTCCTCCTTTTTCAATGAAATAGCAAGCTGCAAAGGCAAATCAAGAAGAGACAGCATACCAATTAATGAAAAAGCAAGCATTGCATCAAATTGCAAAGCTACCCAATCACATGAAGAAAATATATAATAGCCAACGTCAATTATTCCTAAGTAGAAAACCCATTTGTGATGAAAAGTAAAAAGGATCAGAATAATCATTTGATTATTCCTCAAGTAGAAAATCGATTTGTGATGAAAGAGTAGGGATCAATAGGATTAAGGTTCACATAATAAAAAGTAACAGCTCTACCTTTGGGTTCAAAAATGCAAGCTCCCTAACCCGTCCACCTATTGTGTTGTAGTCAAACTGAATCTCAGTGGTGAATACTGCAAAAGAATTTCGAAGTCAACAAAAAAAAAAAGAGATTGTCAGAAATTTTTTTTCAATAAACGAAGAATGGTGCATTATGCAGAGAAGTACATAAATGAGTCTATGAATGCAACATTCACCACCATAAAAGGAAAAAGAACAAAAAATAAGCAAAGAAAACTGAAGGGAGAAGTGGAGCCCAATACTGTTGAACATCAGAAACTCCTCTAAAGGCCCATGAAGCATTACATTGTGAAGAGGCAAACACTATTCTATGCCATATTGTAAACAAACATTGAGAACTGGGTAATGAAGCATAAAATAGCAACCATAAAAATTATATGGGTTTTCAAAAGTCAAGGAAAACCTTCTTTGTCAGGCCAGAATCTGATGCGAGTCCCTTGTTGGTCTTTTGATTCTGCTGAAAGTTCATAACACATTAGAGTTGTCACAGGATTTCCACGAGAATATTTCTGCTGGTATTCCTTTCCATCACGCCAAACTGTAACTTCTAGTTCCTGCGATTTAATATGTGACAAATCTTACAAAAGTCAACACTTTATACATTGTGGTAATTGGTCACCAAGAAGTAAACCTTAAGGGAAAGGGAAAGCAAGACATGGACAGTGAAGAAGCTCATAAATTCCACAATTCTCCATTGTCATAAATAAGGAAATTTCAATTCCCTGCAAAGGGATTGCCCTTGGGCATTGCCTCTAATTTAAAATATTCTGGATACAAAATATTTATGTCACATTAATTTAAAATCATAATAAAGTAGTCCACCTCCTGGTGTTGTAGGCTAACATGTGCCTCTACAAGTAACTAAAAAATTCCAAAACATAATAGAGACATACCTCAGACAAAGCATTGACAACAGATAAACCCACACCATGTAGCCCACCAGAAACAGTATATCCACTGTTAGAACCACCAAATTTTCCACCAGCATGTAAGACCTGCAAATGAAAAAAAAAATAAAAAAAAAACTTTCGAAACACAATCTAATACACGGCAACAAGAGGAAGAAAAAAGAAAAAAAATTGCAATAACAGTGTGAATAAAGTACAAGTACATTTACTTGAATGTTTAAACTAAGATTTTAAAATACAGGTTTCATAAAATAAAAATAAAACACTCAGCACACTCCAAATATCATGCTTCTATCAAGCCAAAAATGCATTCAGCACCTTAAAACCCTCAAATATGATGGATAGAACTAGTCATATTTTAAGATGGCCAGTTGACCATGCATTTTACCGTTAACACAGTCTCCAAGGCAGATTTCTTTGTCACCTGATGCAAGTCAGTGGGAATCTGTAAACAAGTAAAACAGAGAAGCGTGTTAGTCCAGCAGTAAAATACATTATGAAAGTTGGCATAAATGACCAAAGCCTCTAAGGCAATCATCAAAACAAAATTCTTATTGTCAAATTAGAAATCTTCAAGGGAAAATCGCAAGTAGTTGAACTCAATTTAAAGTGAATACATGTCCGTAGGAAAAAAATGAAAAAGACAATGGCTTGGAATAACTTCTTGTCTCGTGATTATATGGGTATTTAGGGCCGTTAAAAAAAAGAAAAGAAAAGTAACATCATGATCATTACATTTCAAAAGGCACACTCTAAATTATATTCTGAAAAGAGCATCAAATTGTTTACAGTCACATGTAAAAGCATAAACTAACAATGTTCTCCAAACTAGCATCCTCTCCGACACAAACATGCCCTGGAAAGAATTGAATGTCACAGCATGAATAACAATGGGAAAGTCAGATGCATAAACTGACAAGGTTAATCATACTGGAATTAGAAAAAAAAAATCTAGAATAAAAGGTAATGACAATAACTAAAATAACAAAAAAATCCTCATACCCCACGCCCATTGTCAGTAATGCTAATGGAATTATCTGAATGCAGAACAACATTTATCTTTGAAGCATATCCTGATTGGGCCTCATCAACAGCATTATCTAATATCTCATACACCTATTAAAAAGAACCACAACCAATTCAAATAAAAAAAACCTTGTTTCCAATTTACCTAAGATAAACTGAGTAAAATAGAACCTAGAATCCGCAATGATAAAAGAGAGGTAACAAAATAAGTTACCAAATGGTGCAGACCACGCGGTCCCGTACTTCCGATATACATCCCTGGCCTTTTCCTTACAGGCTCTAATCCTTTCAACACCTAGACATATCAAAACAGAACTTATCAAACCCCTCATTATTTACAAAGCATTCATTACTTACAAATTACAACAAAAAAAAAACTTTTGTTTATATAAATTTTCACCTGAATTTGATCAGACCCGTAAGCTTTCGAGCTCGCGCTTTCTTTCTGTGATTCAGTTGCTGCACTGGTAGACATGAAAGCTCTTGGCGAGACCCCATTTTGCACTGATTCAGTTGCTGCACTGGTAGACATGAAAGCTCTTGGTAAGACCCCATTTTGCACCAAAAATGTACTTGGAACCGTCCTCAATGGAAAACTCACCCTGTAATTACACAAAAACAAACAAATAATTCAAAATATTTAAGTTTCGATTTTTAAAACCCTAGAAAAACCAAAACCCCTTCTTTCACCATAATTATATATATATATATAAAACTCTTAACCTACATTAATTTTTAACAAAAACCCACAACTTTTTTCCTCTAATTTCCCATTTTTCCACCAAGAAAAGAACTCAAAAGCACCAAAAATGCAACTTTCCCTTGATTTATCTCGCGATTTCAACAAACAGAAACTAACCAATGAATAAGAGAGTAATAGAGCAAAGAAAATACCTTGGCTTGAAGAAGACTAAGGGACGGGAGGGAGAAGAGAATAAGTGAGACCAACTAACAGAGGAGGAGGAGGTCATGGTATCTCTAAGTAAAGAGATGCAGTTTCTCCTGCTGTTGTGAGGTTTTAGAAGAAGACGCGCCATTGTTTTTTGCTCGTATTTTTTTGTTTTTTGAGCCCAAAGCAGTTAGAGTCTTTGTTGATTAAAAAAAAAACTGGTCGATTTCCCTCCTCCTCTTCCTTGTGGGTCAAATGTTTAGGGCTTCAATTTCTAGCAGCCCATGAAGAGATTCTATTTTTTGGCCCATTGGTACAGTGTCCATGAAGTCAAGTATGGGCTTTGAAAATATAAACCTAAAATGTTGTGTTTCGGCTTAGCCTATAATTAAAGCCCACCACCATAATTACCTATAAATCTCATTTTTATGTGAGTAAGAGAACGACAATGTACTAGGTTTGGAAATAGCTTCCAGTATTTCTTTTTTAGGGAGTATTCTCTAGCCAATTTTAGTACAAAGAGACTAGCTTTATCTTGTAGAACTTGCGAAAAATAGGTTATGATCATTGTTTAGAGTAGAAGTCTTTTTTAAAATTTTACTTGAGGAATCATATTTCTATTCTTTGAGTCTATCTCTAAAGTTTTATGTTAATATGTAAATTCGAGTCATGCTTTTTAAAAATACTTTTTAATTAAAAATATATTAAAATAATATATATAGTGTAAAATTTTTAAAATAATAAAATAATAAATTTATTGTTTCAATTCATAATAATTATTAACCTAAATAGATTTTTTAAGCCTAAATTAATCTTTTAAATTCACTATCATGAAATCACATATCTAAGTTCAATATATTAAAATACATTAAAAAATAAAATTAAAAAAATTTCAATTTAAATTTAGACACTAACCAATTTATATTTATCTCTTTTGTATTTACTTTTTTATCTTAAAATACTCACTAAACACAACATTAATTACGGAATAAGTGAGCCTAAATATATGTTTTAATCTTAATCAAATCACATAACATTGATATTAAGAAAAATGCTAAATTAATGGGTTTTACATGAATGGGTATCACTTATTTGATAAATTTACACATACACTTCATATTCAAGTAATCTGAACTATTTATATTTATTTGGTGAAAGTTTATTTACATTATTTACTGCATAGAGAATGACATCGTGATAAACAATTAAAGTGAATTTCTGAAATTCAATTACTTGGCAAATTGCTACAAGGTTGCATCCTTTCCTGTACACTAATAAATTCTCGGGTTGGTAGAGTAATAAATGGATCATACAAAAGTTGAAGAAAGAATAATCATTAAAAAAAAATTGAACAGAAAACCATACTACATAATCTCATTGAAAAATTAAAAATAAAATGTACACAATTTACATTCCTAAACATCTATTCTACCATGAAGACATCATAAAAAATCTGTGATATTAGTTCATCAAAAAATAAAAAAATAACATGAATAAATAAATTTTACAATGTAATGCACCGCGGTAACACACGTAAAAAAAAAATATTTATACATGGAGGGTGAAGGAGGCAACCTTCGAAGCCACTTGTGATGCATGCATCGAACCTCTCGAGGCCCCTTAACAGCTCAGTAACAAGTTGATGAAAGCGATCATGTTGCCAATAGATTCATGAGAGGAACCTCCTTCTCTTATTGAAACGTCGATCTTCTCCTTCAGCTGCATAGCCCTCATTTTGGTTTGCTTTCCTTCCTCACCCGCCATTAACCTTCTGATATAGTCCGCTATATTTCCTCTCTCCAATCTCTCCAACTGGATCCCAACTCTCCAGAAATGAGTAACCAGCCTTGCATTCACCTTCTGGTCTCCCACCTGGGGCCAGCAAAGCATAGGGACCCCTTCGCAAATACTCTCGATGGTTGAGTTCCAGCCATTATGAGTCCAAAATGCTCCTATAGTTTGATGCGCCAGCACCTCCTTTTGTGGTGCCCAGCTAACTATTCGACCTCTTTTCTTCGTAATATTTTCAAATTCTGTAGGCAAGAGATCGAACCCATTTGAGCCGTGGACCAAACCAGGTCGAATCACCCACAAAAATGGCTGACCACTATTGGCAAGCCCCCAGGCCATCTCAGCCAGTTCAGTTTCCGTTATCATAACTAAGCTACCAATGCTTACATAAATGACAGAATTTGACCTTTGTGTGTCAAGCCAAGAGATGCAGCTTTGCTCTTCGATCAAAAAACTGCTTAGAGCAGCGTTTGAGTGCTTATGAAGAGGTCCAATAGAGAACATTGGGGCTACAATATTTGATTTGAATTTGTCACAGATTGCTTGTTCTAGGCAGCTAAGAGAGTTCCAAATTATAGCTGAAGCAGTCCTGGTTCCATCATCAATGGGATCAAAAACACTGTCGACAACTTCTTTGTTGGATTTGTTGAACAATGGCATGTCCTCGACTCTTAAAAAAGGGATATCATCAAGTGGTTCCTCCAATTGTTGTTCTGCTAGGAACAAATTAAAAAACAAGTGTGAATCCCACTAGAAAAACTAGAAGCCTTGAAGCAATTTGAGAGATTAAGTGTGTGCAAAAACTTGTTCAAGGATACCAGCTATTAAAATTGAAAGAGACAAGGGAAATTGCCTTAACCCTCATGAAATTTGAGGTCCGTCACAGGAAAAAAAAAATTATATCATACTAAAATAACATTTTACATATTAAGTCATAAACTTCTGAAATCTGCTAATATTTTTTTAAAATATTACAATTTTATTATTATGATTAATTTAATACTAAAAAATACCATTATTAAAAAAAGCTAAAAAAATCAATTTTTCACTTTGCACCAAGACACAATTTACTATAAATTAGAATAGTAAACTGATCATTTTACCATTCTCAATCAAAATCATTTAATTAGCTATTGTAGGCAAAATAGTTTTTTCCATGAGGTCCATTTGTTATTACTATATTAATTAAGGACAAATTGGTTCTATAATATTTTAGATGCACAGTGAATTGATTTAAATAACATTTAAAAACAATTGTGGTCAAGGGATTTTCGGTATTAATACTTTGATTGCACTCTAAAATGGCTACATTGCCTTCAAAAGAAAAAACACTTGACACCGGGAGTTTTTTGTATTTTCATTCTAATATTTTAGTTATAATCAATTTAAATAATGGGCAATTATATTTTTTTAAAAATATAAATATAATTAAAAAAAGAAGAAGATAATTTATCACGTTATGCACATGATAACAAGTAGGGGACACATGTGTAGATAATTTCTCAGTATTTAAGAGTGCGTACAAGACGAAGCAACGATTGAGTTTCTATTGATATTTTTTATTTTTCTTCTACTTTTTTTTTTATCATCTTAGATTTTACAACAGCCCTTTCAAATATTAAATGTGTCTTGTTAATTTTTATTTGTATTAATTTTTAGTATTATTATTTTTATTGCTATTTATTTTTCTTTTAATACTTTTTTAAATTAACTTTTTTTATATACAATTTTGTCCATCATCATTTTTTTTTCATTTATGTATCTAATTTGATCCCTTTTTTATTATTTTCTTAATTTTCTTAATTTTTCAATTTAGTCCCTCAACATTTTATTTTATTTATTTATTTATCCAATTTAGTTCTTATTCTTTTTATTGCTGTTTTTTTTTTTATCATTTTCATGATTTTTTTGAATTTAGTCCCTCATTATTTTATTTCATTTTATTTTCTTGATTTACTTTATTTTTAAATTTGATATTCATTGTTTTGATTACTATTTGTTTTGTTTTTAGATTTTGGATGATTAGAAATTTTGCTTCATAATTTTTTCATGTTTATCTTTTAAGGGGTAATCTCAATTTTATGATCTTAGTTAAGAGTTTTAAAGATTAGCTCAATTTAATTTTGATCATTTTTAAGTTTTTTAATTATTTTTAAATTTTATTATTTGATATTAGATCATTAGACCTTAAGTTTCATGATTTGTTTTTCCTTCTGATAGGGTTATCCTCATTTTATACTTAGATTATAAGTTAGTCGAGTTAACTTATTAACTTATGTTTTTATATTTTTTTTTAATAATAAAAAATATTAAATTCATTTGAATCAACAGGTCAGGTCGGGTCTCATATTTTTCTTCGTCAAGCTTTTTCATAAATCTTACAATGGTGGGGTTTTTCAAATTGCTTTCATTTATAGCATCTCTAATCAAACAAAGAAAGCCGTCGTGGATCTACAAGTGTTAAACACCAAGCCTGTGAAACATGTAAGATAAAATTGTAATCAGATACCGTGAAAGGAGCTTTGATTGGACCTTAACGCTTGAGCTAAATATTCTCTTTTCACTCGGTGGCTCTTTTAACTAGGTTATTGATTTCATTTTCTTCTGCTTGAAATAATTGACATATTTTGTGTCATTTATATATATATATATATAAATTTAAAATAAATTTTATTTTATATTAGATCTTGAAATGATCTCTGTTTATTCTTAATTTCATTTCATGCATTTATTGAAGATTGTGTTTTCTTTTATTTTTTAATGTATATATTTTTTTAATTTTAATATTCAACACTTAATTATTTAAATATTAAATTTTATAATTTATTCTTTTTGTAATTTTTTTATTAATCATATAATAAATTTAACAGATTAGATTAATCTAATTGACTTGAATTTTTTTATATTTTTAGTTGATATTTTTTTAATTTCATTATTTATCATCTTTAATATTTCACTTATTATGAATTAGATATTATTATTTATTTTGATTTAATCATCTTTAATATTTCACTGATTATAAATTAGATATTATTATTTATTTTGATTTATATTTTATAAAATTATTACAGTCCTATAATTTTGAATGATGAATTTTATTAATTAACTTGGATAAATATAGATTGTTTTATTGTATTTTTTTAATTTTATTATTAAAAAATAAATTTATTAAAAATTAAAAATTATAATTTATTTTATTTAAAATTATTATCATCTGATTCAAGTTATAAATTTAAAAATATAATTTAAATTGATTTAATATATTAAAAAAACAAAATATATCGTCTCAATTAAAAAGAATAAAACACCAACCGTAAAGAATTAATAACTCAAAACTAGCCCCTTTCATTCTCAAACTCTTGAATACACTAGTAAGAGCTCTATCATCATTTTTCTCTCTTTGCAATTGTAAGTGCCTCCAATCTTCTTCCCAGATTTTCTTAAATTTTTAGTGTTTTCAAACCTCTTTCTCTCTATCTCACACGCCTCGCCTTTTTTCGTTCTTTGTAAATCACTGCAAACCCGAAAAAACCAAGCAACCATCACTATGATTTCCTCCAAACTCACTAAATCTCCAATTACCCACCACACAATTCAAATTAAAAAGCCCAAGTTCTTAAAAGACTTAGATCTTACAAAAGCCAATTATAAAACAACATTCAAAAGCAATTTAATCCTTGTCGTCATCATTTCCCAAACCCAAAACTCACTAAACTAGGAAACCAAAACAGAAATGAAGACGAGGCATCAAGAAGTGAAAGAATTAATAAATTAAGAATTATAATTTTAACTTAGGATTTGTGATCTGATTTTAATTTTAACAAAGTGGATGTGATGACCTTGGTGACGAGGAGGAAGAAGATGAGTGGGGTTTTTATTTACCTGGTTTGGTCAGTCAATGTGAAAAAGGAAAGGAAGTGAGAGAGGAGAAAAGGGAAGGAATGGAGGAAAGGGAGAAAAAGGTGTAAGAAAAGGGAATAAATAAATAAATTAAATCATGAATAGTTTTTATCTTTTCATCAAAACTTAAATTTCTGAAGTGTAATTTTTTTTTAAAAAAAACTGTTGATTCTTGCAAAAATATAAAAAAAAAAAACTGTTGATTCTTGCAAAAATAAATTCTCTGTGTTTTTAGAGGATACTCTGATATTTAAGTTGGTGTAATAAAAAAATAATAAACTAGAAAATACAGATAATTTCATTTTTGTATAACAGTCATGGGTGTTTTGAGAGGTGGTAATCTTCTATCTTCTCGTGTTTTATAAATTTAGAGGTGTTTATAAGATATAATTCTTTAGAATATGATGATTAATCACTATTTTTTTTCTATTCCCATTAATTTGGTATTACATTTAGGATTTGTAGGCAAGTTTTCAAATATCAAACTATCTAATCTTGGACAGGATTCGCGAGAAGGCAAAATGTTATCATATTCAAACATCAAGGGAGTCATTATAATTTTCTCAAAGAAAAAAAGAGTTCCTCAAAGTCATAGAAACTTAATGCTTGAATAAACAATAGGAAAACTCATAAAAAAAATACTTTTCTTCAAAAACAAATCAAGAATTTATTATTTATTTCTTTATCAGAACCCAAATTTATATAATTCTACCAGGAAAAGAAAGAAAATACAACATATGTGGACGTGAAAATTAAAAAAAAATGGCTTCAGATGAGAAATTCTTGGATGAAGGTTTATAACCTGGAAAGGTAATTATTAAGTCCAATAAAAATTCTTTACAAGCCAGAGGATACTTTTTTACCCCGTTGCAACACATAAAAACCACATGAAGGATACCTATTTTCGTCAGCAGATTAATTGTGGGAATTGGTTGAACTTTGGCTGGTCTATAATTTGACTTATCAGAACCTTCCAGGCCAAGAGAAATGTACATGATTAATAAATAAAGTGGATCTAAATCTACCACTTTTTGCTTAGTTATATACTAATTAATAAATATATCTCACATGAGATACATACAAAAATTAAAAGAAATGAAAAACAACTATCATAAAATAAGTAATTAAGTAGTTATGTCATATGAACAGCATCATTTTCTATGTATGTTTAACCGTACCTTGGATTGCAAGTAGATCACCCTTTTGCTTGAGAAGTGAAAGCCCATAGAAATTGGTGGCACTGCTTGTCCTCAAGACAATCCTTGGAATCTTCATATAATCAGCAACATCTACGGAAAAGAACATGACTGCGTCATGGATGATGCATGTTACAGGACCCTGTGTGCTGTTCGTTTGAATCCTCGACAAGCAATCATGGAATGGTGCTTTACACTTTGTGTTAAGCGTGTATAAGAAGGAGACAACATCCCCTTTGAATTCACTAGGGCTGTTATCTAATCCATCAATGGATTCAAACAAGAAATCAGGGTGGTGAGGAGGGAATACTGCTGGCGAGCTGGGTTCTGTTTCAGTAATGGTGATTAGGAAACCATGAGAATGAAGAATCTTGGCCAAGTGAAGCATTGGGATCATGTGACCTTGCAAGGGGCAAGGGACAAGCAACAAATGACCTTTTCTCTTCCCGACATGCTTGTTCTTCATGTTCCAGGCTTCTGTTTCTGGTTCCAGGTTCACTTGCATATCTTGCGATGTCCTTGATATATAAGGTTCATGTTCTTGTACAGCTAAAGTTTCCATTTTAAGATGACAGCATAAATGGAAGACAACCTGGGAAGATAATGATTTTGAAAGGTTGAAAAGTAGATATGTATCACTATAAATAGAAGTAGTTGGGATGATTTAACGAGTAAACTGAGTTCTCAAGCCTGGAAAGTAGATATATATCATTCACCTGTACTCTCACTGTAAAATAAAAATCCTTTCCATTTCTTTCTTTGACGGTATCACGTAAATAATTAACTATTTCATTAATTATATTCAATAAAATTATCTAAATAAATAGTTGATATAAAAAATATTCTGAATGTATAATTGGTATTATCTAATATAGTTGAATAGTAAATTTAAAATTTGTCCATGAAACCTGACAAAATCCTACAAGGATACCTGATAATATCCCCAGTACACCTACCACACTTCTTGTTTGGTACTACGTACAACGTCAACAAAACATGTGCAAAAATAACCCAAATATATGTTTACCTTGGACGTATAATTGTTTTTGTTTGATAGTATGATACCTTTTAATATAAATTATATTTTTAAAAATTAAAAATACTTGTTTTATATATAAATTCCACTACAAATAAAAATACATATTAATTGATATTCATGTTAATCTATCAATAATTATAGATTTATGATATTTTATAGATTAGATTTTACGATAAATTTGATAAGATTTAATCTAGTTTAGATTTAATTGATAAGTTAATTATCACGTAGTACTGATTAAAATATAAATATAATGATTAAAACATAAATATAATGGATTGATAAAGTGAAAGTTTATCAAATTTTATTTATATTTATATCATATTTATTGTATATTAAATAAACTATTTAGTTATTTATATTTTATTCATTAAAAATCTGTTGAGATATCCATTACTTCAACACTATTTATGATCTAGTATAAAATAAAAGAATAGTATTTATATTTTAGGTATCTCTATACATACATACATATATATTAAATCGGATTAAGAAAATAAATATAATATATATGTAATGTAAATGTCGGATCAAATCTAATGATAGTAATATTGTAACCATCAATTATATATGGGATCGGTAAAATAATTATATAAAAAAACAAAACTCACTTGTTTGGATTGGACCGATTCTGGTTGATATCTATTATTAGATGGGAATAAATCACAAAGCCTGATTATGGTGGATGAATAGGCATAATGAAGGGCGTATGGATGTGGTTGCCATCCCTGATTTTGCATCATGGATGGAAGCCTCGTACGGCGATGGCGGTGTTTAATCATGTTACCGGCCGGCTCTTTAATCATATTTCTTATAAAATGAATCACTGCGTTATATATTTAGGTTTCTTCTAAACGGTCCGTCGACCGGTACAATGTCTGGTTCTTACTACATGGGTGAACCTACGAGATACATCACAGCTTTCACAACTCACAAAAAACAGAAACAAACAACAAACATACTTCTCTCAGTTTCAGTCAATGAATCGCATCCACGCATTTTTTTCTGTCTTTTCTCCTTCAATTTCAAGGATCATTGAGTCCAGACCTGGTCACCTCCATGGCCAGATGCAGCCATGACTCGTGTGGGCTTCTTAGACTTGCTTTAAGAATTGATACAGGAGAAGATTTGGATCATTTGACAGTCAATTGATTGTAAGTTGCAAGTCACCTCCTCAAACTTGCAAATTAAGTTACAGCAGATACTAAAGTCTACCATTTTTATTAAAATTATATTATTTATTTTTAAAATGAATTTATCTTTTATTTATTTAAATAAATAAATTTAATAAATATAATCACATAAATGTTTTATTTTTACATTTTTATTATTATTATTATTATCAAAGTCGCTAATAATAACCCTAATTTTTGCAAGTTTTATTATTATTATTATTATCAACTTCTTTTTAGTCGCTAATAATAACCCTAATTTTTGCATCATGAAAGTGTCAATAAATTTTTTTACGTACTCATTAAATAATTAAAGATATTTTATTAGTTACTTTTAGGATTTTATTTTCAAGAAAAACAAATAAATAAAAAAAATTCAAAACCCATAGAGAATTATAAAAACACTTTTATTTAGTATTTCTTATGATCTATTTATGTTTTAAAAATATATCTACAAAATAACAAATAAAATATAATTAATTACTTTTCGACACCATGAAATGTTCACGAGGGGGGTATCAAACGGGGACGGTGGTGTTCCATCAATGTCGGGCCTTAATTGGGTTTCTTTGAAAGAATCCATCGACTCGAACAGTACCTGGTTACGTGGGCGTATGGGATAGATCACAGCTTTAAAAAATCACACTACTTTCAGTCAGTGAATCGTATCCACGAAATATTTTTCTGTCTTCTCGCTTTATCTTGAATTGACTGGGTCCAGACATCTGGTCACCTCCATGGCCAGATCCAGCCATGACCCGGGTAGATGGATCAGATATTTTTAAAATACTGTTAATCAGTACTTCCACTGAGTTGGCGTAGAAAACATCATACTTGTCATGAGAATTGACCTGGTGAAGCACTTCAAGTTATCAATTTAGATCAACTATTTTCATTAAAATAAGATTTTTTATATATATAAAAGTACTCTCAATATAATTTAGCTAGATATTAGATCAATCGAATTTTATTATCTCAATATCTAATCCATCTTCTAAGTCAGAATTCCAGATCTTCAATTTCTTAGGTCAACATTTCAAGCTAAGCTTGGTTTGCACAGCTCTAGAAAGTAGTAACAATATATTCCATCCAGTCATACACATGTTGCTGCTTTAAGCTGCCATTGTACCACAAAAGAGTGATAGACGACCTTATGTATTAATATCCCAAGTGTTTTTTAATGTATTTAAACAGCCTTATAGTCTATTTTTTATAAGAGAATTAATGAGGGGTAAAAAAGACTTTTCTAGATATGAAAAGTTTTCTTTACTGATAACGATTTACTGATAAGGATTGTATCTAGGTTTGAGTTCTCTACAATTTTAGGTTATAAGGATTGTAACTAGGTTTGAGTTCTCTACAATTTTAGGTTTATAAAACTTTAGGACTGGGAAACATTATCCATGGTGTTAATTAGTATTGGAATTTTCAATTGAATTAGAATTTTACTAATGAGTATGTTTTCTTGTGTTTAAACAATATTAGAGGTTATTTTTCATAAGAGAATTTAGTAAAAAAAAAATAATCTGAATACATCAGAGTTTTCGCTACATTGTAACTTTAGGACCAAGAACTCTAGATTTTTTCTCTACAATTTAGAAACCTGAACACTATTGAGAAACTCTATGCACGTTTGACACCCTTGACCTTAAAGCTCTTTAATGTTAATACAGAAAATATACAAGTCAGTTCTTTACAAATGTAGACAGAAAAAAGCCAAAGAAAACATACAAAACTATTTTGACTGCAAAGCCGAATAATGAAACAGGCCCTTGTCTGGTCATTGTCTGTCGGTGGCATCAATTGCGTAAGAATTTCTTGTGCTCCTGGAATAATCCAAGTACCAAGTTTATGAAACACATAATTTCAAAATAGTGCCGGGAAAATTCTTTACTGGAAAATGCTTTGCTTTAATGAGCTACTTGTGAATTCTCCATTTAAAAGTGCATCAAGCATAGAATTTGAAGCAGAAGATTTATAGGATGAAAAAATTTCATTAATTTAATCTTGCACTTAAATGGGTAATGAAAAAAAGAAGCAGTAATCATGTGGTAGCACCTCGCTACGTGTAAAGTATACTAGCGAAATGCAATCCAGATCAAAATTCCATTGCAAGAAAGAACATCACCTGGAGGGGAGTAACAGAGAAGCCCTGGGAGCACTGCTGCGTCGCATCCTATGATCATGCTCCTTGTTAACTCGCATAGCAGCGACTTCCTTTTCCCTTGCAGCAACTTCCCTCCGCATCTTTTTGGCCTCAACTTCCATTGCTTTGTTCAATGTATCGACTTTCTTTGCCAACATCTAATTTATCCATTTTCAAAACAGCAAAACAAATTACCAACAGAAGACAGGGGATGTCCTTAGGAGTTAGGAGATGTGAAAAGTTGGCCATAATTTATATCTGCTTACCTCGATTGCATCATCCTTGTCCTTAAGGCTTTGATCTTTTTCATGGCAGGCTTTCCTCAGAGTAATAACGTCTTTCTGTAACATATCATACAAAAATCCTGAAACTTGATCTTCTTGCTCTGATTTCAAATTTTCAGTTGATGTCCCATTCTCAATCTCTTCGGTCTCAATTCTCTCTGTATTTTGGGTCTGATCAGAGGCAGCAGCAGGTGCATTATCTTTACCAGTTCCACCTACAAGCAACTTATCATCTAGTGATCTACTACCTCCATCAAACGATCTTGATGACATCTTGGCATGTCTCAACAATGTGGCAGCACTGTTGGCTTGGAGAGAACCAGCTTGTGAATTTGAGGCTTTCCTAGATAAATAACCATTGAAGGATGATCTGGAAAAATTCTCCGCTCCACTGAGAGACTGACGTCTTGAAGGCCCATTGCTTGTGTTTCTTCCTTCAGGTGTAGCACGGGAATTACCGTTTGATGCTTTAAGCCTTTCCTCCAAAACCTTGAACCTTAATTGGTATTTATCCTAAGCAAGCCATCAATAAGTTAGCATTAGTTGATGGAGCACAAAAGTAGATAGTTTAATATAATGGGCTGACTTACTTTTAACTGTGCTTCTGCCTTGGCCGCACGTTCTGCAACTGCCAATTTATCTCGAAGCTGTTGCATTTCCCCCTGGAAGAATACAGAAGATTGTGTGAACAAATAGAATTCAGTCTTGCATTATCTCCCAAGACCCCTTGTCTTTTTCATTTTTCCTGGAACGGTAAATATGATGTACTAAGAAATAATACTTCCTAAATATATTAGGCAAATTTGAGAACTAGGAAACTAGAAAGAGAACCTCTCCCCAAATGAACTGTTTTCAAGGTTCTGGTTTCAATTTATCCCTAGAAATTGCAGCAAGTGGAAAAATATTTTTATTAGGAACAGGCTTTTCCTGTCTAACCAAAGAGGGGCAAGGATGGAAAGGGATCAGTCTT